TGGCCTTCTTCTAAGCTACCTGGTTAGCTGCATTAAGGATCAGGATGCCAAAATAGAACTAGTTTTGTTCTAACCAACACATTAACAGGCTGCTATGAGAAACAGAGCAAAGGGAGGGGGGAGAAGATCTCCTGCCACCAGTAGTGGGATGCGTGAGTGGAAGCTGTGCTCCACTGTTTCCGCTTCATGACAAGGTTTCTGCCATCAGTCACATCCACCCTTTCTCTACAAGTTTCCCTGCAACCTTTGTTCTCTCTCCCACACAAACGTTTGCAGCTGCTGGGCTAGAAACCATTTGTTCTCAAGCCAGGGGAGATGGAAGAGGAGGATTTCTTAATATGTGTCTTCCACACTTGATCTCCTGAGAACTTGGTGGAGGCTGTTTCATGCATGGAGAGAGGTTAGGAGACAAGAGAGCAAGTGAGAGACCAAGGTTTTAGAGAGCCACTGCCTGGTTGCTGTAAATTGACCCCCCCCCCCAAAGCATTCCTTCCCCCTTTTCTGTCCCCTATCCTCAGCATCTGGACCGAATTCATTCCAAGTGTGTATTGATTTTTCTGCCCACCAGCAACTGTTTCATCAGGAAATGGCCTTTCTTCTCTCCTGCAGCAGCCAATAACTGAAAGAGAGACACACCAAGGTTAGGAAAAACTTTCCCCCTTGGTTCTCTGTTTGAGAAGAGAAGACAGAGGATACTAATTTTCTCAGCACTTCTGATCTGTAAATGATAGTAATCATCTTGTGGTGCTCGCCTTTCAGAATGCTACACAAGACATGAACTATAATTAAGGCTTGCAGCAGCAGCCATTTTAAGGTAGATCAAAAAGTAGAAAATTCCAGAGAGAGCAAAGAGAAAGAGGCTTATTTGGGAATGAAGATGCAATGAACTTGACTTGGGTCTGACTTCACAGACCTTGAAAAAACAGTCAAGGTGAGTGTGGGGCCATCTGTAGGATAGCAGCCAGGCCGCTTAACTGGAGTTAGTGAAAGGCAGGGATGGGCAAGGTCTGGGTTCTGGGGCCAAAGCACCCCCTGAGGCCCACAACATACACATCCAAAATGAAACCAGAAAGAGCTAGAAGTTACAGGTTTGTAAAGCTTTGTTTTGGGGTGACACAAAGGGGGGCACCAAACATTCTCCTTTTTTGCTAATTTGCTTGGGGGGGTTGTTTTGGGGGAAAAGGATGTGGAGGCTTGATGTGGCCTATCGGCTGCAGCTAGCAGTGAAAACTCCTCCACAGTGCCTGTCACAACCCGCATAAGTCTCAGCCCCCTCTTAGCAGCAGAGTTTGCATTTTAATGCACACTTCAAATGCAAAAACTTTGGCCCCCATAGTTGATCAGTCATCCCCTTACACCGATCCTGTCTTTCTTGAGTAATCTGACCTAACATGTTTTGGGGTCTCTGCCGCAGGATGACATGAAGCTCAGAACTTGGGAGGCAGTTATTTACAGCGGTGGTCGCAATCTCATAAAGTTAGGCACCCATATAAACTTTTTAAAGTACAGTGGTGCCTCGCTTAGCGATTGCCTTGTTTAACAATGTATTCGCATAGCGATGAGGTTTTTGGAGCGATTTTGCACTCCATTTAACAATGTTTCCTATGGGGAAAATTCGCATAGCGATGTTCGGGACCTTGCCTCGCTTAGCGATGACAGTTTTAGGTCCCCTGTTTCGCTTAGCGATGTTCCGTTTTCGCTATTTTTAAAGTGTCTTAAAAGGTTCAAAACGGTTTTAAATGTTTGGAATCATTAGAGCACCTTCTAAAATGTGTGCAAACGTAATTTGGCTTTGTTCTGACTCTTCGTTAATTTTTTGGCGAATTTCTTTCTCCCCATTGAAATTCATTGAACCCGATTTTGACAGCTGTCAAAATCAGGTTCAGTGCTTTCCAATGGGGGAAAAAAATCACCGAAAATTAACAAAGAGTCAGAAACTGTTTTAAATGCTTGGATTCGTTACAGCACCTTCTAAAACATGTGCAAACTTAATTTGGCTTTGTTCTGACTCTTTGTTAATTTTTGGTGAATTCCCCCCCCCATTGGAAAGCATTGAAGTGCCCATTTGACAGCTGTCAAAATTGGGTTCAATGCATTTCAATGGGGGAGAAAATTCTCCAAAAATTAACGAAGACTCAGTCCATTTTTGCAATTTTAAGTGTGTCTTAAAAGGTTCAAAAATGGTTTTAAATGCTTTGGATCATTAATGCACCTTGTAAAACGTGTGCAAACTTACTTTGGCTTTGTTCTGAGTCTTCGTTAATTTTTGGAGAATTTTCTCCCCCATTGAAATGCATTGAACCCAATTTTGACAGGTGTCAAATGGGCACTTCAATGCTTTCCAATGGGGGAGAAAAAAATTCACCAAAAATTAACAAAGAGTCAGAACAAAGCCAAATTAAGTTTGCACACGTTTTAGAAGGTGCGCTAATGATCCCAAGCATTTAAAACTGTTTTTGAACCTTTTAAGACACACTTAAAATTGCAAAAATGGACATAGCAAAACCATTGAAATGCATTGAATAGGCTTCAATGCATTCCAATGGGGGAAACATTGTATCGCTTAACGATGTTTCCTATGGCGATTTTCGCTTAAGGAGGGCAATCCATTCCTATTGGAACGGATTATCCGGTTTTCAATGCATCTCTATGGGGAAATGTGTTTCGCTTAGCGATGTTTTCCCATAGCAATTTTTTTTGAACCAATTAACATCGTTAAGCGAGGCACCACCGTACAATACCGTATTTCTTTCCTAATTCTTAGAAGTAGCCAGGTACCTTTTTGGAGCAAAAGATCTGACTGCAGCAGCAACATGTGGTACAGCGTGACCTGGAATCTGAACCATTATAAAAGTTACAGTTAGAATGAAGGCTGTCTCTCAATAAGTTGCAATTGTAATATAACATAGAACTTATAGTTGTATTATGCAAAAATACAGCTACAGTGGTACCTCGCAAGACGATTACCCTGCATAATGATTTTTTTGCTAGATGTTGACTTTTTGCGATCACTATAGTGAATCACAAAACAGTTTTTTCTATAGGGGATCTCGCTGGATGATTTGGTCCATGCTTCGCAGACCATTTTTTCGGCGGCTTCGCACAATGGCTTCCCTATGGGCGATCTTCGCAAAACGGATGTTTTCAAGACCGATGCTTTGTAAGACAGCAATTTAAACAGCTGATTGGCGCTTCGCAAAATGGCTTCCCTATGGGGATTTTCGCCGTACTACGACTATTTCCCCCCATTGGAATGCATTAAACGGGTTTCAATGCATTCCAGTGGGGAAACACTTTTCGCTAGACAATGTTTTCACAAGACAGCAATTTCAATGGAACAGATTAACATCGTCTAGCGATGCACCACTGTAATTATGAATTACTTGCTATTTGCAACTATTTGCTTCCAGACTTTTATAAAACTGCCTGGTCCATTAGGTTATTGTTGTTTATAATGGTGAACAGTCATATTCTAGTGTTTAAGAAGAGTCTTCTCCCATCCCTAATGTTTTGAATCCAATAGTAAGTCACACCTAGGCTCATTACATTAGAACTTACAAACGTGTTGACTTACCAAATCCCCACTGATTCAATGGACTGACTCTAGTTACAACTTACTACTGGATTTCAGCCAATGAAATCCGTGGTATTTTATTGTATCCCAAGTGTAATACAACATGTTGAGCATACAAAACTTGTAGAGCATACAAAAGAAAAGAAACCAAAACCACTAGTAGTGTGTATGTCTTAAGGTTATTCTGAATAATTTTAATATTGTGGGGAAAACCCTTAGGCCCTGTCATCAATAGTAGAACTGAAAGGAATGACAGTCTCAAAATCTCCCACTTTATTAGTTCAACAGGAAAAAAAATGTGTGGCCCTGGTGCACAACCTGAAGGCTAGGTAATACCTTTATGAGACCACTAAAAAGGCATCAACATAAGCTAGCTGTCAACCCGATATAGGTCTGCAGACTGTGGGTGGTACAGAAAAAACATGTCAGTTCAAAAAGCATGTGTGTGCCAGTCTCTGGCAGTTCTGCTCATATTGCCCAGCTGTAGGTACATATATTTGGAAATAATAATAATAACAGGTTTGTGTGGTGTGTAGTTGGGGATGCAGACTTTTCCTATCTCTATCTATAAGATATAGGTAAATGTTTCCTTAAGCTTAATAAGATGTCACATATTTCTGGTGGCTGCAGCCAGGTTCACTTATTTGAACTATTTATTCTGGTTGTGTGTTTAGTTTTTTCTTTAGGGATGTGATACAAATGTAGCATTGAATGGTACTGACTTAATGTGGGCACCTGGGGCAAGACTTCTAAGGGCCTGGTTTGATGGCAAGTGGTTTCTGAGCAAATATAATTGCTGTAAACCATAGACCAGTTTTCCCCAACCTAGTGCCCTTATCGGCCATTCTGTCAAGTGGTGGCAGTTGCAGCCCAACACGTCTCAATGGTATCGGTTTGATGGAAGGCTGCCATAGATGACCGCAGGGGTTTTTTTTGGGGGGGGGGCTTCACTCATTTTGCATCTTGACATTCCCCCTCCCTGTTTTATGAGTCAATAAGCCTAGTTTTCAGATAATGTGATGTAGGGAATGCAGTGATAAATTGGGACTCAGGAGACACAGATCTGAATCCCTACTTGGCCATGAACACCCATGAGGGAAGTGGCAGTGGTAAAACCACTCCTTAATTATCTCACTTTCCTTGGAAGCTCTGTTAAGGTCACAATGTCAGTTCCAACTTAACAGTACACAATGCAACACACATAACCCTAGTTTACCCTTGCTTGTGTAGATAAGGTCACAAGTATTTCTGTTTTGCAGATTAGGTATTATTGCTGAGATATGATGACTTCCTTGGCATCACATAGGGTGTCAGTGGCAGAGGTGGGTCTTAAAAACAGGTGTCTCTCTATATTCACTTTGTGAAAATTTGATAAGATGCTTTTGCTATTCCCCCCAAGTCTCACTTCCTTCTCTCTTCCTCTTAGGCTTGTTAATCTTCGACACAGCAAGGCTTCTGTTATGACCACAATACCAGCCTTTTCTCACGGATTTGAGCACATCCTTCTTGAAGACAGAAACAGGGCATTATTGCTTCCGTGCATGTCCTCCATTCAGAAGCATCACCGGAGCCACCATCACTATCATGGGAAGTGTCAGTAGCCTTATCTCGGGGCACAGCTTCCACAGCAAACACTGTCGGGCATCTCAGTACAAGCTGCGCAAGTCATCCCACCTGAAGAAGCTGAATAGATATTCTGATGGGCTGCTGAAATTTGGCTTCTCTCAGGAAACTGCCCACAACAAGTCCAGCTCAAAGGGAAAGAAGAATGAGGACTTCTTTTACATCAAAGTCAACCAGAAAGCTCATCGGACAGACTACACACCACTCTCTGGGGGAGAGCCAGGGAGTCACACAACAAGAAACAGTGTGGATTTTGGTACCTCAACACCCCCAAAACTCAAGCCAATCTCTAACCAGCTGGAACTAGTGAGTTAGATGAAACCCACAAATCTAATCAGATGTATCTGAGAATGCTGGTAGCAAAGTGGAAAAGCCATACTGCAATCATTTAAAATAGCTTCCAAACATTGTAAGACACTTTTACAGGAGCGAAAAGGGAGATCGGGAAGAACTTTAAAAGGCAAACGGAGATCAAAGAGCCCTTTCCCGATCTCCCTTTTCGCTCCTGTAAAAGTGTCTTACAATGTTTGGAAGCTGTTTTAAATTATTGCAATGGTTAGTCCACCTCCTGAAACCTATGCAAACTGATTTTGGTGTTGTTCTGACACTTCGTTAATTTATGATGATTTTTTGTTTTTTCCATTGGAAACCATTAGACAGACCATCCAATGGTTTCCTATGGAGAAAATTCAAAAAATCATCATAAATTAACGAAGTGTCAGAACAACACCAAAATCAGTTTGCATAGGTTTCAGGAGGTGGACTAACCATTGCAATCATTTAAAACAGCGTCCAAACATTGTAAGACACTTTTACAGGAGCGAAAAAGGACTTCACAAAGGCATTGAAATGTATTGAGTCGGCTTCAATACATTCCAATATAGGAAACATTGTTTCACTCAACGATGTTTCCTATGGGGATTTTCACTGAACGATGGCAATCCGTTCCAATTGGAACGGATTAACCGGTTTTCAATGCATTCCTATGTGAAATGGTGTTTCACAGAACGATGTTTCACACAACGTTGATTTTTTTGGAACCAATTAACATCGTTGTGTGAGGCACCACTGTAATACCATTTAATAAGGCCCATACCCCAGGGAGAGTGCTACTCATGTGCTACTAAGTACAGCTGACCACTTTGGGAAAGAGAATGTTAGACTGTATCTAGCAAGAGTTTTATATTTCTTTCTTTATGATTAAGAGAAGCATCAAGAAAAGAACTAAAAGAATCACTAAGAGGCTGGTTACACAGGAGTTTGTCCTGCTCTGTAGCTCCCTGCTGAAATGGTTGGGAATGTTCTAAAAATTACTGACGGCATAATGTTCTTATTAGAGCATTCCAGATTCGCCTAGATTTGGAGCCTACTGTTTATTTAGAACAATTTACTTGCTGTGTGATTGTCTAGATTGCATTCCAGTGTAGGGTTAGGATGTTCTTCCTTCCTGTCAGTGCTGAGGTATAGAGCTGGATGTGGTCTGGCCATGACTGCAGATGGCACCCTCTGTTCTATTTCGAAAGGGAAAAAAAGGCATTTTTGTTTTTTTTAAATAGTTTTCCGCTATTGTGCTGCATCACTTAAGCACTCTGCCATTTACCAATGATTAATTGTTTAAAAAACATGACAACTCTGTACTCACCCACCCTTCATGTGCATAGAAACCCATCATTAATGTCCAACCGCAAGCAAAAGGAAGCAGACTGTTTCCCAACTGACAGCTATTGCTCAAGAGAAGACAGGGAACACTGAAAATGTGCTACGTTCACTTGATGTTTATTTAAATATTTTAGAAGTAAATAAACTCCCCTTCATTCCTAAGGAATTGCAGGCCATTTTGCATAATAAATAAATGTAGTAGTGATAAAATTATTTTTAAAAACCATTCAACCATTTCACAAACAAAATTATTAAAAATAATAATTTAAATCTCCTGTGTAAGAAGTATATTTTTACTGAGACATGAAAAGAAAACATGACCAGCCCCACAAGGAAGTATTCTGAAATCAGGGGCCACCACAAAGAAAATTTGTAAATGCATAATATATTTTTCTGAGTGAATGTTCTTAGCAAAGGGGCACCTCTATAGATTTCAAGGTATTGGTAGGATGATTTTTGTCTTTTAACTGAAAATTTCAGTTCAAATATTTGAGAGCAATTAAAATGTTTGTATATCCTGCAGAATTAATACTTCCTGTCTCATTTTTCAGTTTTGTTCAGTAAGAATGAAATCTGCAGGCTTGAAGGAAAGGATCCTAGGAAGGACTGAGTTTCAGATTCCCCTCTCTATGGAAACCTCTTCAGCCTTCACCTCTCCAGCCTCTCTTGAGCTCTTGGCATCAGGAGAGAAATGGAGAGGGTGAGGAGCCATGATATGGTCAAACTGCCAGATGTCTTGGATCTGGCAGGATCCAAAGCCCCCCCCCCCAATCTCTAACCACATTGTCCCTTCCAGAGAACATTTTCAACAGAGGAAAACAACCCTGGAACTTGAAGTTCTATCTCTTGAAGTGTCTATCTCTCCATCTGCTTGTCTGACCATCTTTTTATCCATCTTTATTTTAATGGAATAACAACAACAAATTGCACTTCTCTCTTCCTTTCACCCTATCAGTAGGATATTTGCAGGGTCTTTGATATATCAGGTGCTCCAACATTAGAACATTCTCACTTTCAGCAACAGGGTTGTTCTGTCAGTGCATCAAATAATCATCCTAAATCCTATATTTTCCTGTTTCTAACATATTCTAATTTGAATTTTCATTGGAAAAGTAACACCACAGTGGGGTCTTGACTTGAGAACTTAATCCGTATTGGAAGGGGGTTCTCAAGTCAAAAAGTTCTCAGGTCAAATCTACATTTCCCATAGGAATGCATTGAAAACCATTTGAGCCGTATCTGCTCTTTTCCGTCCATAGAAACTAATGGGAAGCTGCTATTCTGCCTTCGACCACTAGAGGGGCATATTTTGTTTCTTTTTTTCTTAGGTCGAGAAAGGTTCAGGGAAGGCAGGGAAAATACAGTCCAGGCAGTCTAGTACCAGGCAGTCTGAAGACTGTCTCCCAATCCACTCTCTAAACGCTGGGAGGAGTGAGGAAGCAGACAGGCCCCCTTTTCACTGGCCAACAGTTAACTGAAAGTTCCCATTTTGCACTTTCCCTGCCTCCCACGTGGTTTTTTTCAGTTCTTAACTCAAATCTAAGTATGTAAGTCAAGTGAATATTTTCCTATGAGAGTGGTTCTTAAGTCAAAATGTTCTTAACTCAAGCCATTCTTAAGTCAAGACTCCACTGTATGTGTGCTTCTGTCTGTCTGTAGAGGAGAAAATGACTCTTCTTTTCCTCCTCTTCGAAAATAGGTAGGAAAAAAGCAAGTGTTGAAACTCCTATTGCCTGATCTAACTGACTGTTTTCTCAATCTCCCCAGGCCATGGACAAGAACTCTGCAAGGCCCACAGCCTTCAAGCCTGTGCTCCCTCGTTCTAACACAGTCCTCCTCTCTTCTCCAGAGCATGGCAGTCATGCCCCTCAGCAACTCCCATCCCAGGAGAAAGCCAAGGACCAGGACCTTAAGCCTGCACAGTGTTCTGGAGGACTTTCAGACTCAGGAAGGAACTCCATGTCAAGCCTTCCCACCCATAGTACAGCTAGCAGCTACCAGCTGGACCCACTTGTTGCTCCTGTGGGGCCCATCAGTCGCTTTGGAGGCTCTGCCCACAACATAACCCAGTGTGCCATCCTACAGGACAGTAACATGATGAGTCTGAAGGCCTTGTCCTTCTCTGATGGGGGCACCAAGATCCTCAACCCAGGCAAAGCTTCTTCCACCCACTCCCACTCTGCTGAAAAGAACTCCTGTATCCGCTCACCCATATCCACAGAGGAATCTGCCATCCAGGAGTTGGAGCAGAAGCTCCTTGAGAGGGAAGGAGAACTTCAGGAGCTCCAGTGCAGCTTTGAAGAAAAGGAGATCGCCTCCTGTCAAAGTTATGAGGAAAAACAGAGGCGCTGTAGGGAAGAGATGGAAGGGCTGAAGCAGAAATGCAATAGCAAGCTCAAACAAACGTCACAGAAAAGCCAGCGGGCACAACAACTTCTGCAGCTCCAGGTGTTCCAGCTTCAGCAAGAGAAAAAGCAGCTACGGGAGGAACTGTCAAATCTGATGAAAGAGCAGGACGTGCTGGAGACTAAGCTGAGGTCCTATGAGAAGGAGAAGATCACTTTTGCTCCAGCACTGGAGGAGACACAGTGGGAGGTGAGGGTCTCCTGCACCTTGTATGTTGGGAGATAATTTGTTGTAGTTGCATAAAACGAATGAAAACTGCAATGTGACAAAGGCAGGAAACAGAACGTGCAGAAATATCGCTCGTCTAAGTTCCAACTGCATGGATGGCAAAGAAAGCTGAAGGAATAGAGATGCTCTCTGTAGCTGGTGTTTGTTGGAACATATAGTGATGGAAGTAGATTTAGGACATTTGGATATTATGAATTGTAATAGGGCTTGCCCACAGTTTTAGCTATTTTTCTCCTTTTGTGCAAATGTGCTCTTTTGTGAAAGATTTAGAGAACAGGTGGGAGGGAGATCTCATTGGTAGAATCAGCAGTAATCTTGTGGATTTTTCTTTTCCCTGGTTCACATGCTACTGAGTACTAGGAGTCCCATTTTCCCCTGTAACACTGTATAACTTGATAAAACATTGCTTAGATTGATTTATTTTATTTTCTGCTGCTGAATAATATTGAGAATTTTTTTTTCAACATGCAGTTAATATCACCAGAAAATGCAGTTTCTACAACCATGTATGATACTTGGCTGGAAGCAGCTTGCTCTTCTGAAATTCTACAGAAGTATTAAAGATACAGGAGCACTGACCTTTTGCCGGCCAGGGCCCCAGGCAGCTTAACAGAACAATTTTAACACAAGCAACGAAGGACAATTAAAAATGTGATCCTAAGCAAGTCCCTTCAAAGATTGGTTTCATGAGATTTAATAAGACTTGCTTTCAATAAATCCACATCATAGCTTGAGACAGTCAAGTCAATTAAATACCAAAAGGAAGAAAATAAATGAATGAGTGGAATAGAGGCAGCAGAAAAAACAGTGGCAGAGAAGAGCAAGCAATGGGCGAAGTTTAAATTGTCTTGCTAAACAAATACAAGCTGACTGGATAGCTCAGTGGTTTAGGTATCTGGCTGCACAGCCAGAGATTGGGAGTTCTTTTCCCCACTGCACCTCTAGGGAGAGGAGCCAGCCTGTGTAGTCATGGGAAAGCTGCACAATCCCAGGATGCCCCCAAGCAAAGGGAATGGGACATCACTTTTGAGTGTTCTCTACTTGGAAACCTCTGGAAAGGGCCACCATATGTCAGAATTGACCTGATGGCACATTTGTTGTTGTTGTTGTTTTTAAATGAAACCTGTGCAGGCAGAAAAAAACAACACAGCATGTCCTATATGGGTTTCCTGAACCAAGAAGTTGTGCAGCTTCAAAACACCTGCTGCTTGAGACAGAACCATGAATGGTGTTTCTCCCTGCAAAGCCATAGTGCTTTGTACTCAAACTCGGCTTATAGTAGCTCCTGAGATACAGTGGTGCCTCGCTTAACGGCGATAATCCGTTCCAGGAAAATCGCCGTTAAGCGAAAACATTGTAAAGCGAAAATAAAAAGCCCATTGAAACGCATTGAAACCCTTTCAATGCATTCCAATGGGCTTAAAAATCACCGTCCCGTGAAGATCCTCCATACGGCAGCCATTTTCGCTGCCTGTATAGCGAGGAATCCGTCCCTAAACACAGCGGGAGCCATTTTATTTACTCGGTGGCCATTTTGAAACCGCTGATCAGCTCTTGAAAAAAAACATTGTTTTGCGAAGAATCTGTTCCCAAAGCAGGGAACCGATCATCGCAAAGCGAAATTCCCCCATTTAGACCATCATTTTGTGATCGCAATTGCGATCGCAAAAAGATCGTTGTAAAGCAGATTCGTCATAATGCGGGGCAATCGTAAAGCGAGGCACCACTGTATATTAAAAAATCCACAAGCATCCCAGCAATCAGACTACAATAACTGTGTTTTCCTAACAAACTGCTACCTTTTCATGGTATCCCAAATCTGCTGCCTGAGGTAGGGCCTATGGCCAGCCCTCTCTATTTCCCTTCCAGTAGTATTTTAGGCAAATGAAACAAGCCTTTGCTGGTGCTTTAATCCATGAGTGGGAAATTTGCCACCTTAGCTTTTTGAGTGTGTTGGACCTTTTAGATACAAAACGTGTGGGTGTGTGGGTGGGTGTGTGGGTGTGTGGGTGGGTGTGGGTGGGTGTCATGGGGCTTCATGGCGGATAGTTGAACTCTTCCGTAGCATTTGCCCTGAGAGCAATAAAGGGGCAAAGAGGGGAATATTTCCAGGGACTCACGGACATGTAAGTGACTTTTGTTTGTTTACAAGACTTAAAGGCAACAGGAGAGGAATATAGCAGCAGATATACAGTAAATATACAGTAGTAATCATGTGGGGGGGGTTACCTGCCTTTGGCAGAGGAAAACATCAGGGGATCCCCACTAATTACCAGCTGAAAGAACAATGAAAGCTGCTGGATAAATGACTTTGTGGCTGAAAAGAATTTTTATGGCAGGCTGTTCAGCTCAGGGGGTTGTAAATCATTCAGAGTCCAGCAAACAGTTATAAAGTTTCTATCTGCTCTTATCTGTTGCCAAGGAAGTGGGTCTGTGAGCCTTGGAGCCAAATCAACTTTTTTTACTTGGTGAAAGCTAAACAAGATCATAAAAGAAAAGAGACTGATAACATACACAAATAAACCTTGCATCCCGAACTGCAGACCTATAAATATACAGCTGCAAAGCTGCAGAAATCTAAACTTATAAAATCAAAACTTATTCCCAGTCAGAGGGGAATCAAAAGTGGAAAATCATTTGATTTCTAGTTGCATACAATAGAAAAGTTTGGAGTTCACCACCATCTGCTGGCAATTATCATAATAGCAGACTGAGAAAAAAGCTATTTCTTTATAGCATGGACAATTAAAAGTCTTTCAGCTGCTTCTGAGACTGGTATAAAATAACAAAATTAATGAGGCAAGGAAGACCAAAAAAAGAAATGGAAAGTTGGTTGGAAAACAGAGGGCTCGGGTCAATAGAGAACTAGGCCATCAGATCATCAGCTGGTGAGATTAATTCGAATTGAATCAGAAATGACTCACAAGGGTCAAGAATGTGAAACATCTGAAACTATGAATATGAAAAGGCTGATGGATGCTACAGCAAAAGTTAATGAGAATGTTTTGGCATCCGATAAAAATATAGAAGAGCTAAAATAGACAGTGGCAGACATGGGTCAGAAATTATAGGATCTCGACAAGGAATGTAAAACCAACTGAGAGAACTAGAAAAAGTCGAATTATAAAGTTGAATGTTGTTTTTGTTTAGTCCTTAAGTCACGTCTGACTCTTCATGACCCCATGGACCAGAGCACGCCAGGCCCTCCTATCTTCCACTGCCTCCCGGAATTTGGTCAAATACGTGTTGGAAGCTTTGATGACACTGTCCAACCATGTCGTCCTCTCTCATCCCCTTCTCCTCTTGCCTTCACACTTTCCTCTCTTCTCATGAGATAGCCAAAGTATTGGAGCCTCAGCTTCAGGATCTGTCCTTCCAGTGAGAGGGTTTATTTCCTTCAGAATGGATAGGTTTGACCTCCTTGCAGTCCAGGGGTCTCTCAAGAGTCTCCTCCAGCACCACAATTCAAAAGCATCAATTATTCTGTGGTCAGCCTTCTTTATGGTCCAGCTCTCCCTTCCGTACATCGCTACAGGAAAAACCATAGCTTTGACTTTGTCGGCAAGGTGATGTCTCTGCTTTTTAAGATGCTGTCTAAGTTTGTCATCGCTTTCCGCCCAAGAAGCAGGAATCTTTTAATTTTGTGGCTGCTGTCACCATCTGCAGTGATAAAGTTGAATAACAGTTTTAAAAGATGGATGACAAAAGTGGGAGTTTGCAAACCCATGTCAAATGCAACTCACTAAATTAATAGATCAAGAAATTGTCACTGATTTAAAGACCCAGGTGATACTACAGCAGGATTATACTCGCAAAAATAATCTAAGATTTAAGGGAATTTGAGAATTGGGACGAGGAGAAAGATCATCTGAAACTAACTTTGGCCTGGTTAAAAAAAGTTGCTCTGAAAATTGAATGGAGTGTTTTTGAAATTGATAATATTAATAGAACTGGACCAATATATATTCTAGAGGACAACTTTGTCAGGTTCTGGTGAGATTTTCAAGTCTTAGAAAAAAGGATGAATGGATGAAGATCGTAAGAGAGAAACCAGTAAGACTGAAATTTGAAGGAGATTAGATCCATATGTTCAAGAGTTTTTGTAATGAGACTATGACATTTAGAAGACAGATGAGGTTCGTTACAACTGTCTTAATCACAAAGAACATTAAATGTAGCTGGTGTTGCCCAGTGTTTCTAAAATTACAGTATGATGGGAAATATCATAAAATTACATCAGTTGCAGAGGCCCTGGATCTGTTAAAGGACTGTGGAATTATAACAAAAGAAGAATAGGAGGAGCAGATGAAGAATTTAGATGGTTAGAGCATGACCAGAAGACAGAGGATGATAAAGGGGAGCAGATGAAGCAAGATTCAATCAATGGAGATAAAGGAAAAGAAGAGCAATGAGAAAGCTCCAAAATTTGGAAGAAAGGGAAAGGGAAGGGAAAATCTAGAGAATAAGCATGAACAGTTGTATTAATTCAATGATAATTAAAATTAAAAGGGGATGTTCTTGTAAAGGTAAGGGTTAATTCAATAGAAGACAGAAATAATTATTGTAAGGCTCGAAGTAGATTTGAAAGGGAGGGTCTGGCAGAAGTCATTTATAAACACTGGTAGTGAAGCAGATAAATAAGGAAGAGATCCAGATACAAAGGAGGTAAAATTAGAGGTGAAAGGGGGGATCCAGTAAAAGCTGTAAGAAGTCAATTATGGGAGGTATCCAAATACAAAGAATGAAAAAAAAAGTATGTACATATATATAGTCTGTTGATGCTAATAATTAGAAGTCTTATAGGTTTAAACCAATCAGAAATTATATTTGCCTATTGTTTGGTCTAGTTATATATTATTTATAATCATATGAAATTAAGGAGCTTTAATTAGAGGTGTCAAATAGGCTCAATATATATAAAGACAGGGCAAGGCAAGGGGACTGAACTGGGCTGTGAGACTACATGTGTCCTCCCCCACACCCAGGTCTGTAGAAGAAGGGTTTGTTAGAAGCATGAGAGGAAGAAGGGATATAGTTGTGGTAGTGGGGGAAGGAGAAAACGCTGAATTTATAGGGAGATTAAGTATGGATTATTTTTCTTTTAAATGTGGCAGCATTATGGTCTGCACATATTGGGGCTAAGACTTGATCTAACAAAAATAAGTAATGGTTAAATGAATAAAGGCATTAACATGGAATGTGAAAGGCCTGGGATCTAATATGAGAGCAAAAATACAAAATGTGTTGATTAAGAGTAATGTGGATATTGTGTTCCTACAAGAAACACATCAAAAAAGGAGGGGTAAAGGAATTAGGATGCAATTGAAATATATGAAAATTCACTTGGTACATCAAAATCTACAGGAGTTGCAATTTTAATATCCAAAAAAATGTGAATTAAAAATTGATAAAATGGAAAAGGATACACAGAATAGATACTTGATATTGCAAGGTGAACTAAAAGAGAGGAATTTACATTTTTGAATGTTTATGCATCGAATGAGAAACAGGATGAGTTTTTGATAAATGTATTAAGAAGTTTGGATAAATTGAGGAAAGGTCATGTGATAGTAGCAGGAGACTTTAACATGAGGAAAGATAAGGCGAAGATGCAAAAAGGGAAAGGGTGAGGTAAATATACAATATTAAATAGATTAATTAATAAAAGAGATTTGAAGGAAGTTTGGAAAGAAATAAGAGGTGACAAAAGAATTTAACAGTTCCAGATTGAATATGGAGCTATTTGTAAAATATGATTATAAAGAGGCTGTAAGGTGGAAAATTGACACAAATATTCACCAGCATCAAAATTGTAATTAAAGGGTTTCAAAAGAATCTGGAAGAGACTTGGGAAATAAATAAGAAAGGAGGAACGTGTGCCAGCTAAGGTAATTTGAGTTGCTATGAAGTATGTTGTAAGGGGGATGCATATAACACAACTTGTATACTTAAAAAACAAGAAAAAAAGAATACAGGAATCAGAAAATAACATAAAAGAATTAGAAAGAATAACTGTAAGAACTAGAGATAAAAAAGCTATGGTGAAACTACAAGCAAAGAGGAAGGAATTGGAAGGGATTCATTTGGAAAAGGTGCAAAGGAATTTAAGTTGTTTTAAAAGAGAATTATTTAAAATTAGTGATAGAAATTCTAACTTACTAATTTAAGCAACTGACATAAAAATATTAAAGGATATATAGGGATAATACAAGATCAAAATGGGAAAGGTGTAATTAAATGAAAGAGAAATTAGAAGACTTTTGACATTTTTATGAAAATGTGTACACTAGGTTAAGGTTAAGTTTTACTATATAGTCATAGAACCGAAAATTCAAAGATATAAACATTATATAAGTAAAAATCCTTTAGATAAAATTAAAGACCAATTTTAGTAAATTGTTAATGGAAGAAGATAGAACAAAAATGAAACAATTAATGAAGAAATGGAACGCTGAAGAAGAGGTTGCAATAAAAAAAAAATGAAAGCAGAGAAGATACCTGGAACAGATGGATTAGGCCCAGAATATTATAAAATATTTAAAAAGATTTTCATAACAAAGCCAAAAGTGTCATATAATAAGATATTAAGTTGTGTGTGTGAAATCCCACAGTCTTGAAAGGAATCAATAATAATAGTGTTAATACTGAAACCCAGGAAAAGCCCAACAAATATAGAAGCATATAGACCTATACCATTGATAAATCAAGATGCCAAGATAATCACAGCAATCTTAGCAAATAGATTAAAATGTTTTATTGGGAAATATCTATAGAAAAACCAAAATGGATTCAAACAGGTGTCAGATGTAACGAGAAGGAATAAGACAAAGGTGCCCCTATCTCTAGTATATTTACATTGATAATAGAATTGTTAGCACAGGTAATTAAAATGCCAAACAAATTAAAGGAATAGAGTGTGGAGAAAACAATAAAATAAATTTGTTTGCTGATGACACATTATTAATAATTAAGAACCCAATAGATACAATAGAAAGAATCAAAGAACATTTGAAAGCATTTGTGGAAATAACAGGAATAAAAGTAAAATGGGAAAAGTCAGAATGCTTACTGTTAAATCATTCTGAACAGGAAAAGAAAAAAGTGAGAATGAAATTTAAAGGAAAATTATAAAATTTAATTAAATATTTAGGGATAAATATCACACTGAATTTACAAGATATAATCAAAAGTAATTTGATAGGTTGAAGAGAGAGATAAGTGAACAGATAAAAGAATATTAAAAAAATTAAAGATTTCCTGGTTTGGCAGAGTAGCATTATGTAAAATGAAAATCATTCCTAAATTAAATTTTATATTTGGATGCTTCCGGTAAAGACCAATGAAAAATAATTGAAAGAATGACAGAGTATGATAAACAGTTATTGTAATGGAAATAAACAAGCAAGGATTAATAAGATGGTTTGGTATGTATCACAAAAAGAAGACAATCTTGGTATACCCAATATTAAATTATATAGCAAATTAACTTAGGCATATCCCAGACAGTATAATAGAAGTTTAATGTGGAGACATATAGAGTTGCAGGAAAAGGAAGAAAATTCAGAGGGTATTTTATTTAAAGAAAAGACTGGAGAAGAGATTAAGAATATAGTTAACCCCTTCTTTTAAAATATGCTAGAAATCTGAAAAAAAATATAAAGAAATATTGAGTTCACCAATCTCCGCTATTACCCAAGTGTTGGCGTTAAAAAACTTTCCAAAAAGTCTAAAAAATAAAATTAAAGAGTAAGGGCAAATAGAATAAAAGATTGATGGAAAAGGTTGAAGATAGAGAAAGTATAAAAGAGGTATTGGAGGGAGAGGGGATCTCTTGGTTAAAAAAATTCAAGTAGAAAGATGGACAAGGAAATGGAGAAGTAAAGAAGGAGAGGGTGGAAACTGACTAAGTTTGAAGAGATTAACGGAAAAGGATTGAACCCAGAACTAACAAAGGAAAGAAAGGGAACAGTAAGTGAAATATATAAATTATTACAAGCTGGTCAAGATACGCAGGGGTTAAGAGATCAATGGCAAGTTTTGGCTAATAAAACAATAGGGAATGACTGGAGTAAAATGTGGAGTAAAAGAATTAAGAATATGTCCCATAAGGGTCAAGGAAAATTCTTATCAAGTAGGCTGGAGATGGTATTTAACACCAGGAAAGATGAATATATTAAATAAGAGTTTGGCTTTTCCATGTTTTTGAGGTGTTAAAAAGAAAATGGGATGTATTTCCACATGTGGTGGTTATGCAGTATAAGGAGGAAAGAATGGGGATGTATAATCTCCAGACTTAAAAGGAAGGTACTTCCAAATGCCAGATGCAGGGGAAGGGATATCAGGAGATAGGTATCTAGTTGTCTGGTGTGCTCCCAGAGGCCTCTGGTGGGGCCACTGTGAGATACCAGAAGCTGGACTGGATGGGCCCTTGGCTTGATCCAGCAGGGCTCTTCTAATGTTCTTAGGTTCTTATGACACACGTCTTTGAAGAAATTAGGGAAATAATTGGATTTGTTATTCAAATGTCCCCATTGACTGCTTTATTGAATACAATTAATGAGAATCAACTGAAGAGAGAACAGAAGGATTTAATTACTATAATGGTCACAGTGGCAAGGTTATTATTGGAAAAATGGTAACCAAATTAATATTAATAATTAATGATAAATGGACTTCTGAAATGAAATTAAGAAAAGGTATCGAAAAGCAATGATTTTTTAAAAAAATATGGAAATATATATATATAAAGAGAGATTGAGAGAGAGAGAGAGAGAGAGAGAGGGAGGAAAGTAAGGCGGTATACACTGGGAGAAGAATCAGTGTATTTCTGGAGAGAAAGTGGGCAGAATGAAATGTAATATTAAAAGTTAAACCTAACCCCGAAGGTGAAGGTGGCACAGGTGAACTAATTGATTCAAGAAAAGTGAAATTATAATATTTATAATATAATGCACTGTAGAAGTGGTTTTGGTTTGGTTTATGTTGTTTTTGATATATTTTTTAAAAAAATTAAAAATTTCCTGGTCAGAAAGAAATCAGGGTGACTTCCTCACTTTTAGCAGTTGATACATGAGGGGAAGTAGTTTGCCTCAGTAAATCTCATTTAATTGTATGTGTACCACAGACTGTGGTTGTCAATGCCCAACTAAACTGCCCTGCCTCTTAGGCACTTGTGTAGACAGATTCTATATGACCTCCTGACTCTTCCTGCCTTTGTGTCCTTATAGATTTGTCAGAAGTCTGGTGAAATTTCTCTCCTGAAACAGCAATTGAAAGACTCACAGACAGAGCTCAATAGCAAGACCAATGAAGTTCTTAACTTGAAAGCTCAGCTGAAGGATGTCCGGGGAAAGATGGAGCTGCTGGAGATGAAAATCCATGACTTGGAAGATTCATTGCATGCCAAGACCATGGAGTTGGAGGTGTGTGAGAACGAGCTACAGTGCAAAAAGAATGAGTCAGAGCTGCTGAGGGAAAAGGTGAACCTATTGGAACAGGAGATTGCAGAACTACGAACAGAACTAACTATTCTGAGGGAGGAGATGAAGTGTGGGGTGGCCTCTATAGGCCTGGAGGGTAACCTGACTGGGGATGCTCAAGCCTTGTGGAGGGAAGTGGAGAAACTGAAGGCAGAGTTGCAGGAGGAGCGAGATAACAATGAGAAGATGACAGTAGGCTTCCAGCAGGAACGGCAGACATGGAAAGAGGAAAAAGAGAAAGTGATTCACTACCAAAAACAGCTTCAGCAGAGCTACCTGCTCATGTACAAGCGGAATCAGAATCTGGAGAACATGCTGCAGCAGCTGGCTGCTGGAGAGGATGGCAAAGAGCCTTTAGACCTTGACCTCCAGGGTGCTGATGTCCCTTACGAGGACATCATTGCCACTGAAATCTGAAGGGTGCTCTGTTTTCTTGTTCATTGTGGAAGAAATGGGTGCCTCTTTCAATTAAGGGAGTATGTGTACAGCCTAGGAGAACCACGTGTTTGTTGGTTGAGAGTCATGCCTGCCCAAAATGCATCACCAACTGTCTTCGTGCCTCATGTGTGTTGTGTGGTAAGGCACTGTGCCCAGCCCATCATGCCTGATGCTTTTCACCAGGAGGGCAACCACTTATCACGTATCCTGGTAGGAAAGGGAAAAGGAATCCTGTTCAGAAGATAATGTTACCAGTGGACCACTACATCAGGGCAGAATCAACCTAGTAGCTGCTCTGGTAGAAAATATGCAAGAATCCTCATGCCAAATAGAACAGATGCCTCCCTCTTATCCATGATCCCAGTTCCAATTGCCAGGGGATACTGGGGAAGGAAAAGTGAGTTCCCATGCCAATCCCTGCAGCCATCAGAAATGCCACTGTAGGCATTTTGACCCCACAGCTGTCAAAGTTCAAAAAGGACTATTCCAAGAGCCTCTGAACTACAATGAGGGAAGAATTTCTGGAAGATTTATAGGCTTTGACTCTTCAGTTCCTTAGGTTAAAAAAAGAGAATAGAACCATACAGAGAGTATACCATCAGAAGTATTCAATATTCAAGGAGGTATGTTAACTCTCATTGACTGAAGGTATGTGAGTGGCATACTTTCCCTGGGGTGAAGAGGCTACAAAGAAGATTCTAGGATCTCTAAGAGAATGAATCCCTTAAAGTGGGGTTGCTTCAGATGACTGCAGATTGACCGCAAATCCCATCAGCCCAGTCAGCATAGCCAGTGAGATAAATGAGTTGTTGGTTTTGTAGTCTAAACAGGTAGAGGGCCATAAGTTTTAACTTTGCCTTAAAGAGTAAAAAGCATTTCCTCCATTTTTTTTAAATCTTGAAAAAAATAGCTGTTTCCACTCATTTCCTGTGGAGGTTCTCTTTGTCCAGAACAGTTCTTCCAACTGAAATAACAGTGTTCTAGGCCAGTGGTTCTTAACCTGGGTGATATTGCCCCCAAGGGGGCGATTTTGTTTTTCAGGGGGGCTATGGAACCAAAAGGGGCAACCCGGGGGCAAAGGAACAGAAGGGGGCAGCAGGGGGCGATGGAGTGCCACTGCTGCACCGCTGGGGGTCTGCATGGCCCGCATGTCCGTTTCGGACTCTGACAAAAAGGAACAGAAGGGGGGCAGTAGGGGGCGATGGAGCGCCACTGCTGCACTGCTGGGGGACTGCGTGGCCCGCAGGTCCCTCTCGGACTCTGACGAGGAGGGGACAGAGGGAGGGAAAAGCCAGCAGCACTCTGAGCCTCCAGAGTGGTGAGGGTGCCTTCTCACTGCGACCCTTGGCCGGCAACAGCAGCGCCTTCTCACTGCGACCCTTGGCCGGCAACGGCGGCATCTCTTTCCTGTGCATCAAAGGGCCGCTGGACCGGGAGCACCGTGTGCTCTTCCTGTGCATCAAGGGGCCACTGGACCGGGCGCACCGTGTGGCCTACGAGCTCCGATTGGTGGCTGTCAACTCTGGCAAGCTGCCCCTTTCCTCACAGCGCAGTTGTGGATTGGATGGTGGGCGGGAATCAGAAAAGATACTTTGGGGGGGCTTGGGCTCCCATCCCCAGCATCTGGCAGATTGCGTAGTGATTTCCCCACAAAGAGACCAAGGGAAACCCAGCCCCACCATCCCGTCCCACCGCCTCTTCTGAACATCCAGCCCCACAAAGGGCTGACTTTGACAAGACCTCCCTCTTTGGGGAGAGTCAGGACCCGTCGTCCACCATGCCTGCACCGAGGGCATAGCCTTGCCCTCCTCATGGGTGCATCAGTGTGGGGTGATCCAGAGGCTGGGGAGGATGGAGAAGCATCCCTCATGGCGACACCCACCTCCCTCCCGGAGACACTGACCCGCAGGATCCAAACACCCAAGGGGGGCAAAGGTGGGAGTTGGCCGGCCAAGTGGCCTCCTTCCTTCCCTTCTCGGCCCATGCCTGGCCTTTGCTTAGTTATGGTGGGCTCCCGATCCTGAGGTGGTGCTGAAGCCCCCAGGCAGGCAGGCAAGGCTGCCAGCCATGGTTTGCCTTCCCTTCCCTCAGCCCGGCCTTGTGTGTCTCTCCCCCACTTTTTTCTTCCCTCCCGATGGTGCTGCTCAGGAAAAGCCAAGAACTGAGAAGGAGATTCTCCGTCCTTCCCACTACCACCCCTCTCTCCACCGCCTAAGTGCTGGCCATTTTCCTCCTCAGGCGTTGACAGCTCCAGGGCCGCCCCAAAAGCCAAACGGAAGCTGCTGCTTAGTCTCTGAGTGTGCGGCGGTGGGGGGGCGAAGGTGGAAAGAAGCGAGACCCGGGCCATTGAGGAAGTTATCATTGCCCCCCTCCCAGTGGTGGTAGTGCCGTGGTGGTGCAGCAGCTGCCGCCACAGGGAGGGGGGCAATGATAACTTCCTCAATGGCTCAAGGGGGCGTTTCTTTCAAAAAGGTTAAGAGCCACTGTTCTAGGCTACTAGAAGCCACAGTCTGGCAACCAACCCTGGATCATCTTTGTCTTTTGCTCGTCACTTAGTATTTCTCCTTCCCTGATCAGGCTAGCATCAAGTCTGAACTAACTTATAGTGACCCAAATAGGGTTTTTGAGGTAGGTGAAATATTTACAGAATGGTTTTACCATGGCTTGACCTCCATGGCTGAGCTAGGATTTTAATCGAGGCTTCCTGAGTCCTAATCCAAAAAAGGCCTCCCCTGATGATCTCATTGCCTAGGTAAGGTCATAGAGGGAGATGCAGTCTTTTAGTTTGCTTGGACCCAAGACATTTGGCCATTTGTAGGATAAAACCAACACTTTGAATTGTGTCTGGAAATAGATCAGCAGCCAGTGGAGCTGCTCTAACAAGAGGGTTATGTAACCAGCTCCAGTTAGCAATCTGGCTGTGTCATGTTGGACCCTTTGGAGTTTCCAAACATTTTCCAAAGGCAGCCCCACACAGAGTACACTACAGTAATCCAACTAGAGCGTGTGTCACTGTGGCCAGATCCAACCTCTCAAGTGCAACTGGCACACTAGTTTTAACTGTGCAAAGGCACTCTTGGCCACCACTGAAACCTGGGCATCCAGGCTCAGAGATGAATCCAGGAGCACCCCCCCCCAAGCTCCATGCATGTGTTTTCAAAGGGACTGTAACCCCATCCAACACAAGCTCCAACCCTATTCCTTGATCTGGTTTTCGAGTGATTAGGAGCACCTCTGTCTTGTCTGGTTTAAGTTTCAGTTTATTCACCCTCACCCAGTCCATTACTGGCACCAGACACCGATTTAGAACTGAGACAGCTTCCTTGGATTTAGATGGAAAGAGGGAATAGAATTGAGTGTCATCTGCTGTCACCGAACTCCAGAACTCTGGACAACCTCTCCCAGTGGTTTCATGTAGATATTAAATAGTATAGAGGACAAAACAGATCCCTAAGGAACACCACAGGCCAAAGGCCAAGGTGTCAAAGTCCTTCAGCACCACCCGCTGGATTCTCCCCTCCAGGAAGGACCGGAACCACTGTAAAACACTGCCTCCAAGTCCCATCCCAGAGAGACAGCCCAGAAGGATACCACGGCCAATGGTATTGAAGCCTGTGGAGAGGTCCAGCAGAACCAGCAGGGATACACAGCAGGGCACTGGAAACCAAACCCCATAACTGGACACCAGTTTAGCCTTGAGAAAAGAAGACTGACGAGAGATATAATAGCGCTTTTCATATACAGTGGTGCCCTGCATAGCGACGTTAATCTGTTCCGGATTAATCGTCACTATGCAAAAACATCGCTAAACGGAACGTAAAAAGCATTCCTATGGCTCCAAAACTCACCATTCAGCGATGTTCCTCTATAGCGCCGCCATTTTTGCACCCTCGGTAAGCGAGGGCAGGGTGCGAAAACACTTGCGGCGGCCATTTTGGGCACCCGGTGGCCATTTTGGAACCGCCGATCAGCTGTTTTAAAAAATCGCAATGCGGTTTTGCCTATACAGAACAGCGCAATGCGATCACATTAGCGATCTAAAAAATTAGATCGCTATGCGAACTCGTCGTTAAATGGTGTGCTTGTTATGCCTTTCCTACTCACTTATTCTATGATTCTATGAAAATATTTCATTTGCAAAAAAAAGAGAGAAAAAATACTGTATTGTCATTGCTGGATGCCTCCAGGAGCTACAACCTCATATTCTAAACAAGCCACTGCTTAACACCTAAATGACCATTTTTCAAAACCTGGCATGGACTTCCAGCCTCTTCTGTTATACTCATTTTGGTTTTTGGCAGGAAGATACAAAGGCAGTTCCCAGACCTGTCAAACTTGTCCATCACTGTTATACTGTAAGGACACCCAAAATATGATCTCCTAGTAGGGCACTTTTGCCTCCTGGAAAGGAGCTTCTTTGTGGTCTCTGAATGTACACCAAGGAGCTAAACCACATGCATATCCAGTCTCAGATCTTTATATAGCAGGAGCTCCCTCCCATCTTCACAGGGTGTGATCCACCCATTCCATCTCATTCTCCTCTGTTTATTTTCATCCACTGTCCAATGCCGATGTCCTTCCTCATGCTGGCTGCATATCAGTGTTGCATGCAACCTCACCTATTCAAGACATGCATCTCTTGCATAGCTGAGATCCCCTTGTTAGATGGACAGTGACTAGTATGCCTGTGAGAGTGTATACACAACACCCAGACCTGGAAGCACTGCAGAGTCTTCCAACCCTGGAGCCAGAAAAATCAAAAGGCCAGACTACTCCCTTATCTGCCATCCACTTCAATCTATTCACTAGTAAGAAATTGGAGCAACCCACCATTGCATTGACATCAATGTCCCTGTTGCTGCCACTATAACCAAGGAGAGCCTTCTTGTTACCAGTGGTAAGAACTCCATCTCAGACAGCTCTTCAATGAAGTGAAAAGCCTCTGTTTTGGACTATGTCGAAACGCACACACACAAAGAGGCTCAAGAAGAAGATGACCAAGGACCTCCTCACTTTATCAGAGATCTCCTTGTTGGGCTACTTGTCCCATCACAAAAACTATTTTCCATACCAGGAGACCTGGTTCTCCCACCATCTCCCTCTCTATCACCAGTACCAATTCTGGATATCATTCTTTGGCTACCTTACACTTCTGAACAACACAAACCATCACAGGAGGCTCAGTACCCAGGACCAGCATCTCACTTAAGAGGGAGAAATACTGAATGTGACACCAGCAGGTCAGCACGCAAGCCTGCCTGCTCCAACCGTGGCTGACTCTCTCAACATCATTCGATGAGAAGGGCAAAACAGATTATCTACATCTCAGTCACAGAGACCATACTTACATTCAAAATTGAGATTTGCCTCAAGGGTTTACGTCCCTGACTCCTTATATTCCCATAGCTCCACCCCTACATGAGCCTGGAGGCTAACTCTTTGTGATGGATGCCATTATTACACTCCCTCCCTCATACAGATGGGGACGAAGCCCTCCATCAGATTACAGCTGGCTGTATAAACTGCCTCATGAATATGACTGCCACCAGTACCGAGGGGCATCCAGATCAAGATGTTTTCAGAGCCAATTAAGGGATTAACAGAAGTACTTTCACAGTTGCTGTACCTCCAACCAACTGATACCCTAACAGAGACCATACCACTACAGACAGTTCCAACAACCATACTTGCCACGATACCAACATTATTACCACTTCTATTATCATCTATGTAAGGTGTCATTTTCATATTGATTGTGGCATCAGCCCAACAAGTCACCTGCTCAGTACCAATCCCAACCATTCTGACTCCAGCACAACAGCTCCTTCCAGTAAGTTTCCCATTACAGTCAGCCTCCATGCCTCATGGCTAAGTGACCTGTGCAGTCCATACTGATTCCAGTGCCAGCATCATGACCACATACTCCAGTTTCTCCTCACTGGCATTCCATCAGTACCTCTCCAGATGTACAGGTATGGGGCACCAAATCCTCCTCACTCACAAAAGATATCAAGTCTTTTGCCAACCAACTATAGTACAC